AACTGACTTTTTTCTCAGAGGGTCTAGTTTGTTCAGAACATAAACCTTTATGAGCTGATAACTTTCAAAGTAAAACTCTGGAGAAGTTTTAAAGGTGCTTCTCCAATAAAAATGAAAGGCTGTACGACCTATTCGGTGTTATTGTGAAACTTGTACTATTCTATTACATGGTTACAAAGGCATGAGGATGTTCATAAATACAGCACAGACGAAAGATAATCTGGACAAGAGACAGACCGATAGAGGAGCATGATGTAGTTTTTCAAAATTTTAAACATAATTCTGAAAAATACGAATAGTGTAATATCCTGGAAACGGTCGAATCATTTTAAATACTTTGCTTCAAAAACTGGTAAGGAACCTCGACACAATATCTTGCAGATTCTACAAAACATGAAGTAACCAATCACCAGGACATTTTGATGGAACAAACAGGTCAATTAAAATAGCTGACATAGATATTTGTAATGATAAGATTAAAAAACTTATTAAAATTATACCGATTTCACAAAAAAAGGACGCATATACCTGATCTGACAGGCAAAAAATGATTATAATCTCGAAAGTGAAGTAGCTACATGTTGTTTGAAGTGGCTGTACATGTAAAATATATGTTAAGTCATTCCAAACATCCCCGCTTGTTTACACTAGATAAGCAATACATTTGTTATCTCTTAGCTATCAGAAAATATGATAAGTAAAATGCGCTTGAATAACTTACCAAGTTCAATGTTATTTTAACTCTCATGGAATTTTTTTCAACAGGTGTTGTTTGCTCGATGTTTTCAACTTAGCAAAACATGCTGTTTTCGCACTTCCTCTTAGATGACGAATCTTTCGAATATTTCAGAAAATAGGAAGATCTATTCTAATTTTGTTAAGCTAATTCTTAATTATGATGACATGAAATTCCGAAAGCTCTTTTTTTACGAAGCCTAAATGCCTAAAGAAATTTTGTTAATCCAATTTTTGAACTGCCTAAGGTCAGTAGAAGTGGGAAAAGCTTCCTCTTGTAGATTGTTCCAGAATTTCGACACCCTCGGGACAAAGGAGCGGTCGTATCGTGTGAGCAATACTGGCGGCTAGGTCTTATCTGGGACTTGTACACAGTGAGGAGGTCATGTGGAGAAAAGTACTTCTCAGCCCTAAACAAATAGCCTAGCCTACAAGATTTTTGCGTCCCCAAGTAGTGATAATCTCCAGATCTCTCGTCAGAGAGGAAGTTTTTTTCCAACTCACCGGCAGAGATCTGCTTGTCGCTCTGAATTCCTGCATGTAGAGTGCTGTCATCAGCAAAGCTGTGGATTGGGTTGATCGTATAGGAAAGGAGGTTGTTGATATAATATATTATGTAAGAGGAACAGTGTCGGAGCCAAGACCGATCCCTGGGGAACACCTTATCCGTTGACGTTGTGGAATGAAAAGGAGAACCCGTCAATTACGACGGACATCTTACGGCCAGAGAGAAAGTCAGGTACCCATCTGCAAAGCTTCTCCAGGAGTACATAGGATGGAAGTTTGCATAAGAGGACAGCGTGCCACAGCTGATCGAATGCTTTCGTGATATCAAGAACAACGACATGAGCATCACCATAAGTCTGGATGAGTTTACTCCACAATTGCGTGACGTAACTTAAGAGGTTCCGTGTAGATTGCTGGTGCCGAAGATCATATTGCCTGTCGCTAATCAAGCCATGACATTCGAGGTAGTTCAGAAGCTCGCGATATACGCACCTCTATATCACCTTACTTACTCACAGAAAGCAGAGCTGTAGGACTGTAGCTGTAAGAGTTGGTCTTAGATCCTTTTTTTGGGAATGGGTTAGACATGAGCGAATTTCCAGTTTTCTGGGAAAGTTCCGGATTCATAAGGACACTTGGAAGAGACGCGAAAGAACTGGAGCAAGCTCCGCTGCAAACCTGATCAATACAACGACAGAAATCAAGCCCGGATCAGAAGCTTTGTTGATGTCGAGCGACAAGAGCATCCGTCGACGGCACTCGGGCATTGGGCGTTCATGGTGGAGTTGGCAGCAAAGATCTTGGAAATCACTTCCGCCTTAGCCTTTGAGTCGATTACAATTGTTCCATCCTGACATGTAAGTGGTGGGAGGCTACTCTGTGAGAAGTTCCTTTCAATCTGCTTGGCCAGCACCTAGAAAGACCGATTACCATTGCGCTGCGACATTACCCTGTACCTAATTTTTATATCGTTGGCATTGCGGACCGCTTCATTATATAGGTGTATTATTTGTTTCTGGTCTGGACGTCGGATTGTCTGTTCTATACAGTGGAGTTTCGTAAGAAGGTTCTGTGTGATTTGTTCTTTTGCTAACGAACCGTGTCGCACGGTTTGTTGAACCAGCCGTAGGATCCTGGTTTAGGCACTTTCACTGTATGAGGGATGTATTGCTCCATCACAACGTGGATAATTTCGGTTATCTATGCAGACAGTCGACGCATCCGCGTCAGCGAAACAGACATCTCCAAGGAAAAGTGGAGAAGTCTATGAGTCCCTCCCAGTCGGCATGTCCGTAATGCCAAATTTTGTGGCCTGTGCGAGTCTCTGCTGCCACAGCGGGGTCTGGCCGAAACCTATAAGCTCTGGAACACCAAAGGTCTGGGTTACCCAGGTAAGGCAGGACAGCAATGCTGTAAGGGACATATGCGTGGAAAGAAAGAGATTCAGCAGACTCCTGGCGTGTGACGAAACGCGGGAGAAAAGTAGTGCTCGTCATCTGCTGGGTCAGTCCTTGGATAATAGCGAACCCTTCGACCTGCTTTATCGGTTTTGTTTGAACCCAACCAAAGCTTATTATGGGCATTGACATCATCGAGAAAAAATGCTTCTGAAGCGTGGTGATTGACGGTCAGGAAGTCGATCTTGACAGCGATGTCATCAAGTACAGTTATGGTCCGAGGGAGAGCGATTATGGCAGCAAATAAATTTGGGGGACGTTTCGAAGTTTAGGCGAAGCCACAGGATGTCCTTCCGGTTTGATTCCAAAGAAACTTATCTGGTGCGGGAAAGGCTGCTGCGGACAAAAGGCACAAACTCCCCTCTTGTTTCTCAGATTATAGCACACCTCGTAATTTGGGAAGCTAAATGATTAATCGATATAGACTCCGATATTTTTGTCCCCGCCAAGAAAAGCATGGCGAGATGATTAGATTGCAGATATTGATGAACAGCTTTAATGTTGCTGTTAATCCCGCAGATGTTCGTGGAACAAATTTTATCTTCGATGTTGTTCCCTCGAGTCCACCCTCCCCCGAGAGTGGAGTGAGTTTACGGAATTCTTAGTACTCGAGGCATTGGACTTGTACCGCCACCCGGCAATCGGTTCTGAGGTATTCCTTAAGACGTGTACAATCATTTGAACGGGAACAAGTTGTATACAACAACTTCCGGAACAAGCATTTGCCACGGCCCTGCTCAGTAGGGGTAGAAGAATACCAAATCCCTTCGAATGTGAAATGTTTTGCATCGTGGTAAAATAATTTAATGTTAATCCGAAACTTATCCTGTGGTTGTTTCGATACATCTCCATATTTTGCTGGCCGCCAACTTAAACCATATCGTCGGTCATCTCACGAAGTGACGTATCTTACATTTAGATAATTGTTCAGGAGAGGCGAAAAACGAAATTGCTTTATATTTGAATTGCTTTAAATCCTGATATGATTGAGTTTTAGATCTGATATATTTATATGTCATTTAGTGCTATGCAAGTTATGAATACCTGTCACGTAAGAGACCACAACTATTCACACTTCTGAGAAAAAAAAGTTTGAATGCAGATACGTCACTTCGTGTGAAACTAAATCTTGACTTTTTGGAGATACGTCTCTTTAACTAAATGTATAGGGAAGGCACAAAAAATAAATAGCTAGATAAAAATCAAATAGCGTTCTATTATAAAATAAAACAAACAGTACTAAAACATTGAAAAACAAATAAATCAAATTCACATGAGAAGAAAGTAAGATTATGTTGTAATCTAGAAAACATACACCTTATTATTTTTTTGCTAGATTATACTGGAAGTAAAAGAGCTATTACTAATAAAGTAGTATTAGACACTGACAAGGGTTCAATCCTAGGTTATGCCAATTCGTCACTATGGGGAAGAGTAATGAAAAACTGTTGATGTTCCGGTAAACGAATTACGGGAGTTTCTCCTTGACACAAGGAAACCAAGTCTTTATATTTTTTACCAGATGTCTTTGGTTGTTCCTTGTTCAGTTGGGGTAGTTCTAATTTTGAGAGATCAATGTTTAGACGTTTTAGAACTATACAGTCGTATTCTGGCTGTTTTTGAAAAATATTTTTAGCGGGGAAGCTTGTGTAACTAACACTTCCATTACATCGGTCCACTTAACGTTCTTGCCACTTTCGCTGGTTCTAATACTCAGGATTCTAAGATCTTTTGATAACGACTTATAATCTTTAAAGTCGCTGAACTTCATTGGAACAACCTTATAAGGGCTGTTTATTCGTGCCAGACTTATTATTGGATATAGCTGAGAAGGCAAAAATACATTACCAGCTTTAGAAATAGCTCTGCTGATAGCACTATGAGCGGAGTCCCCTTCGCTCTGACCATGGTTCGTTTCAAAAAAAACGTAAAGAGATTTCTTCTATAGTGGGAAATTTGCTTATGGAATGGAGCAGCATGGAAGCGACGATTGAATTCTTGTTTTGGCCGTAGCATCCGTCTGCGTACAAATAAAAATTTCTAACACCTTTCTTACTGTAATGCTCCAAAACTTGTGCTATGCAGGTTGCTATTTCCGAAGAGCCACGCTTACTGACTGCTTCGTGCCACACGAAACAAAAGCACTCTCTCGTTGCTACGTTATAAAACGTAAAATTGTATGTAGTTAAACGAGTTTTATAAAAAACTGCACTTTCGTTAGAAATAGGTACATAAATCACTTGTTGTAAGTCAAAAACACCACAGACACTGAACGAATCTTGTTTGGCTTTTTGTTTTCATTCATTTCAGTGAACGAACGTTTACCTTTTCGGCAATATGAAGATCGTATCGAGCTTTTAATTTATGTTTAACGGTATCGTCGCCTTCCCTATAAGACACGCAAAGGGAACACTGATCTTTTTTTGGTGAATGAAAAGATAAGTTTTTGGCCTTAAATACTCTTCTATAGGTATGAAAACTTGGTTTTTCTACTCTTCCAACTTTCTCTAATTCATCTAAATACATAGCATGCATTTTTCTTAAATTCAAATCTGGGTGTAAGTACATTTTGATAATGCTAGCACGGCAATAATGAGATTCTACTCTGGGGAATCTATCAATATGCTCACTTATATCCTTTCTTATGAATTCCTCTCGTTTTTTCTCATCATATTTTCTCTGCCTTCCTCCCCTTTTATCTGCTTCCAAGATTCCACACTCTTTCACTTTGCTTAAAGCAGTTCGAGCTGTACGCTCTGAAATCGATAGAGTATTCAAAAATATTTTTTTACAAACAACCTTTCGTTCTCCAGATAATGATGTTAAAGTGTATACCACACTTTGTTGTCTTCTTGACTCCTTATTCGTAGTTTTTCTTTTGATTGCTTTATCTTCCATGTGTCGTATTAAAAACTCCCTTTGCCGCGTCAAATCACCAAGTTCATAATAATATTCGAAAATCATTTTTCTATCGTCTTCATTTATCATAATACATTGCTTGCCAAACTTCATACATTTTTTTGAATCACAACGTTCTTTGATTGATCTAGCCGGAACAGATTTCTTCTTAAATGGACTAACATATTCTTTACCCAAATTTCTCATTTTTTTGGCAAGCTTCTACGTATTCATGATTGGTGGTTTTTCCGAACCGTTTCCTTCCTTTTTCGCACCTTCAACCAAAAATGATTCTGGACGTGATTGTTGTGGACTTTCTGTCAGCGGAGAAACTTCAACATGTCGCTCTGAGTTTCTATTTATTTTTTTAACATGCTCGGAACAAGTATCTGAGTCTTCCAACATGTGCTCCCAACAAAGTAAAATGAAGCATCGATGGCAGGCGCTCCAGACTTCCCGCCTGCAATTGGCAACCTCGCACAATCCCCATGACGGATCTGCGTCTGAGTCGTAAGTTGGCGATGGACTGTGTGATTGAGGAGTTATTAACTTCTTAACTAATGAAGACAGTGGAGCCTCATCGTCCTCACCCCATACCGGCTTCAATTTATTTAGCGAAATATTGTCTGCAGAGTCGCTACTGCTGTCCTCTATGGTTTCAAGAGCTAGGACACATCCCCAATACCACTTCTTTTTAAAAAACATCTTAACTCGTCTTCCTACTGCAATGGTCTCCGAGTTACACGTATGAAGTTCACTAGCGTTCACCACGTTTTTGGTACCATCCTCACAGAGCACTAGGACATCCATGTCTGCTACGTGTTCTCACCTGCAACAGGGGTGGTTTCATAGTAAAGATTTCTGAAAAAATATGCAATGACATCAACTAACTGTTTATAAGAACTATACTTAATAACATTTTGTACATGATAACGACACACAATTGATGATATGAAACTTAAAAATACTTGCGTACCACGTTAAATGCCTTTATTACGTACCTCTCTATAAACAAACTGATTACAACACACTAGGTACTAACTAGGTCGCTTATAAACAATCTTCAAAAAAATATACCTAATAATCGGTTAATACAGACGACATAACCTCGCAATCCACATACCACTGCACGTGCATCTACTTGACTGAAACAATTAAATTACAGAGTTACAGACGACACAACTCAACAATATCTGACAGGTTAACAGTAGATACGCCGCTATTGTCGGCATTGATAATTACATATAAATTTCACACGAACAGACGTAACTTACTATACGACTTTTCGTGTGAAAACAAATGCTTATTTTGTAAGATACGCCAAAAAATCAAATGCTTTTATACCATCAAGTAAAAGAGTTACAGATACGCTGCTTCGTGAGATCAAAGTGGGTGCACAGACAACTTGTTTACCGGCGTAACTCAATTTTGAAAATTTTGTTAGATACGTCACTTCGTGAGATGACCGACGATATATATTGCATTGAAAGATTACTAACGCTTTGATCACTTCTTTTTGAATATTCGTCAAAGATTGTCATTGCCGTTTTTTGTAGTTTGCAAAGACCGCCAAAGTGGTCGAAATGTTAGTAAACTTTTAGTCCAATACCGGTGGTTCCATTTGGTGACCAGTAAAGCTTGGTGATTTTAAATAACTTTTTCTACTAAGATTTTCTTTAAAGGAATGTAATTTCTGAAGCCAACTATAGTCAAGTACCAGAATGGAAAAGTCACATCACCTGCCACTGTTAGTGATGAGATTCGTACCACACGTACAGGGTATCCTGCTATAAATTGACCTCTATTTTATATAAAGCTGAAGAAAAGTGCTATGTAATAAAGCTATATACTTTTAAATATAGCTGTGTATGTTTAGTGAAAATTATAGTCGTTTATTTGTGATTATGAATATATCAGGTAACCAAATACTCGTAAGTTCGTGCGGTTTTTAGTAAAAAAATATAAGTTTTTATTGAGAAACAATAAGACACTATTTATTCGTCGAAGTAATTACCATCACATTCAATGACCTTTTGTCAATGTGCAACCAATTTTTGTATGCCGGTATTGTATAACTCCCTGGTTTTGGAGTCAAAAAATTGGCGGACTGCATTTATTACACCATCTCGAGTTGTGAACTGTGGGTGCCTCATACAGTTGTCAAGAGACAAAAGAAGGTGATAATCACTGGGCGAAATGTCGGGAGAGTATATGGCGGGTGCTGTAACGTTTCCCAGCCGAGTTTAGAAATTTTTTCTCGGGTCACTTTTGCGGTATGAGGCTTGGATTTATCCTGCAAGAATATCACTTTCTTCCGACTGATCAAAGAAGGCTGTTTTTGGATGAGTGCTGCTTGTACTCGCTGAAGCTGCTCTCAACACAAGTTAGCAGTGATGGTTTGACTCCTTTCCAAAAACTCATAATGGACAATTCCAGTTGCTGTCCACCAAATACACAACAAAACCTTGTTTGGGTGCAAGGAAGCCTTGGGCGTGTGTGGTACCGAATAAGTAGGCGACAACCAATGATACGAACGCTTAGAATTCGAATACAAGATCCATTTTTCGCCGCAGGTTAATAACCGATTAAGAACTGGTTCATTAGCGTTGCGTGAAATGTTTGCTGAACAAATGGTAAGACGACTTAATTTGTTATCATTTATCAGTTCATGTGAGACCCATTTGCTTAACTTCCACGTCTTTCCTAGCTGATGAAGATGCAAACGAATAGTTTTAGGACTCACTCTGAACACAACCTGTCGAAGATCCTCGTTGTTCGCGATTTTTGGTCTCCCTGAGAGCGGTTCATCGCTCAAACTGAGATCTCCCGAAGAAAATTTTTTGTAACACTTTTCAGCAACTTTTTTTGTGTGTGTGAGAAAAGAAGGATTTATCCTAAAGTGACAACAGGTAACAAACAATCGCTATTGATCAACAACATCCATGGCAATCTGAGATATACAGAAACCGCACGAACTTACTTGGTTACCTGTTATATGGTTTTTTACACTTGTTTTCATTACTCTAGTTAACGTTTTTGTGTGACGAATAAAATAGAACCACACAGTAAAACTGATTTCATACACGAAAGAAAAACTTTATATTTTAATGTATAACTAATCTATAACCTTTGTTTGGAACTTTTTTCTAAACGGCCATACAAAAAAGTTACATTACACAATCAGACAAATCCTTCCAACAGAAGAAGATTGATTTATATGAGAATGAATGAATGAGTAATGAATAACGAAATCAAAGACATACCGGCCACCACGAGGAGGCGGCCCATAGGCCTCTTAACGGGCCCTTTGCACCACTGCATCCCCTAAGCCTCATCCTCCGCCAAAGTGTTGGACCGCAGTATAGTCTGCCTGTAGTATCTCAGAGCCTCACAGCGGCGCAGAATAGGCGCCGAAGACTACCCCGCAGCGCTCACAATGGAATCCTCAGCCACCCCCATCACATGCAGGTGACGCATCATTGTGTTATGGCCAGACAGCAGGCCCACCAACAACCGCAGGTTTTCACTATCCAAAGATACGCAAAACCGTCCATCCTCAACACGCGGCACTAAGATGAGCTACCGTGCCTGTGGGAGATGTTTAGAGATGCTTCTCCATTTCAAAGAGTGGTATCTAGCAAACCACTTCTCCATTATCCTCCTGAATTTTTGCGCGGGCACCCGTGGGGCTGACTCAGGACCAACAAGCTTGCCCTCTGATCCAGCTTTCGCGAGAACGTCCGCCATATCATTAGCAATTATCCCAGCGTGCCCCGGTACGCCAGACCCCACGTATATACATAAAGAAGGCACATCGCGTTACCTCTGACGTACGATGACTTATACTATTTCTTCCATTTAAAATTCCTGAAATGCAGTATAGCAAGTCATATGTAACGAAATAAGGAATTTATCAATATCGGTCTTACTGTTAAAACGGCAATTCCATAGTGAGACATTGATTCGAAGCATATCATTCTAGCATCCATTCTATCACAAGAACATGCGGGTAAACTACCAGACAAAGAGACCTCAAATGCACCCAAAGACAAATACTTTCTCGTCCGAATCCTTTTTTTCTTCTATGGACTTAACAGTATGTTACCAATGACATTTTTCGTCGTTGCAAATGATGTAAGTATAAACATATCGCCACTTGTGTTGAGTCTACTAACCATAAACATTGCAAGAATGCTGGTTTTGGAACTAAAAATCTATGTTATATTGAAAATTGCAATTACCTGAATTCCAATTTCGAATTGTATACGAAGTCTAAAAATTAGAAACACTCTTTGTATGATCAATATTCAGTCTCTTTTATAAATTTCACATTCATTTAGCATTTTTATTCCTTCCACAATTTTTTTCTTCAGTCATATGGTCGGAAAATTTGGTACAGCTTTTTTGTTTCTGAATTCCACCTTTTTACGAAGCAAGGCCAGAATAATATTTTATTGTTCTTTTTAAGTTAGAACGTTGTCCATAAAATGAACTGAAGTAACTGTTTTCAGTATTGGATGTACAAGTTTCGCAACACAAACTACACGAATTGGGATCCACTCCATCGGACTTCAATTCAAATCTATTTCAGCTCTATACTAAGCACTGCGAAGGCAGTACCGGTGATGATCGTATCATTATTGGCCGCAAAGTACATCCATAAATTACATTTGAGGCCTAGGCTGCTTTACAGTACGCTTGTTATTTGTGCTGTATTTCTATCTCTGACTATATTCGTAGTTATTGATACTGACGATTGTAAGTATTTATCATTTCCTTTGGAATCATACTGGTTAGTTCTTTCATACTCTAGAACATACAGTAGCAACTTTTTCCTAAATATAAAAATGAAGGAGCTTTGACATTATTTCCAACTTCATCAGTTTGCTAAGAATAGCCTTTACAATAAATGAGCAGTTAATAAAATAAGCAAAATATTTAAAAATAATTTTTCCGATTGAAAATTAATAAGCGATAATGAAATTCCTTCATCTAAATTT